TAGTTCAAAAAATGCAGAAAGTGGGATTAATTGTAGATTAGGTATAAAATTAAAAATTCTGACTTCATAGTACCCAGATGTGATTGGCTTGGCAGGACAGGGAAAAACTCTAATTTGAGAAACCTTCATGTCTCCCCCACCTGTCCTTTATTATCATCCAACCTCCTTTTAACAAGAATTCAATTTGTATTTTAATATTAAAAATAAACACACATACCAAAAAACACACATTTAAAACCAGGGTTCATTTTTTTTTGAAAAATCCTATATTGTAGTCATGGTATTTGTCACAGAAATGTACCGTATTTTTCCATGTATAAGACGACCCCCACCTTCCCAAGCCAAATAAGAAAAATTGATTTCCCCCTCCACTTCCTAAGACCCCAGAAAGCAGGATCAAAGGGCTGTGGAAGTGGAGGGGGAAAGCAGTGATGAAAGGGCTGCAGGATCGCAGCCCTTTGATCCTCCAGCCATTTCATTGCTGCTTTCCCCCACACTTCCTGCAGGGCTTAGGAAGTGCAGGAGGAAAGCAGCAATGAAAGAGCTGGAGGATCAAAGGGCTGCAATCCTGCAGCCTTTTCATGGATGCTTTACCCCTCCACTTCCGCAGCCCCGCGGGGCTTAGGAAGTGGTGGGGAAAGCAGCGATCAAAGGGCTGAAGGATCAATGGGCTGTGATCCTGCAGCCCCTTAATCCCTTTCCCCCTTACTTCCGTGTATAAGATAATCCTCAATTTCTAGTCTAAATTCAACCTTCTGTTGAATTGTGCAAGGACCTGAATTCAGAGTTCATAGCAATCCAGTAGTCTACTCCTTACGGCAAAACCAATCAACAACAGACAAAAGTCTTGGCGAGATAAAAGTTGCAATACAACTTGTATTATATTAGGCTTTCAGGAAAAGCTAAAGTGGAAGCCAGTTTTCTAAGGATGAATGGAATCAGACAAAGCTTCTTTTTCTCTCTTTCTTGGGAGTACTGCAGGTCTGTAGCGTTGTGTGTGACCACAACATTTTCTATTTTCCTACAGTGCTGCTCAATGCATGTCTTTCCCTCTGCATGTGCGAAACTGCATCCACCAGAAAGCCTCTCTTTCTTCCTCCATCTCTTCCTAGTGCTCAGCACTGAAAGCTAAGGAACTCTGAAATGCTGCCCTTCAGCCCTTGACCCTCCCCACCCAATTCCTTCTCAACCCCTCCCAGAGAACAAGTGTTTGTGCTACTTCATTCCAACTGCTTTCCCTCCTCACATGACATGTAACGGTAAACTTGGTAATTGATGAGCTGATAGGTAGGAGAAGGGAGGGGGCAATTTCAGATCTTCCTTTTACTTCTCACAGCTGTCATCTTCTCTCTGTGACTTTCCCTCTGCTGCCTTTCTCCTTTTTATGTCCCACTTGCAACTGGCCCCTCTTTTTCCCATTTTCTACATCCAAAGGAGGGAGTAGAGGATTCCACACATACAGAACTTTCTAGTGTTGGAAGCAGATGCTTGTGGGGCTGGGTGGTGGCTTGCGCAGAAAATAGTTATATTTAAATAGTTCACCATTAGTTTTCAAAAAGGAACCTGGAAACAAAACAGGCTTATAGGGAACAAGGTTATTTGAATCCTTTTTGTCCAATTCTCTGGGAGGGCCAACCTACCATTTATAATCCTGCAGCCTTTTCATGGATGCTTTACCCCTCCACTTCCGCAGCCCCGTGGGGCTTAGGAAGTGGTGGGGAAAGCAGCAATCAAAGGGCTAAAGGATCAATGGGCTGTGATCCTGCAGCCCCTTAATCCCCTTCCCCCTTACTTCCGTGTATAAGATAATCCCCAATTTCTAGTCTAAAGATTTTAGGTAAAAGTATCTTAGATGGAAAAATATGGTAATTATGCTACTTTTTCTTTATGAAAATGTTGTGTCTCACTTTTGAATTTCTTGAAGCCTCCCAGTTTGGGAACCAATGCTGTACGGCAGTGGTCCCCAACCTTGGGCCTCCAGATGTTCTTGGACTACAACTCCTAGAAGCCTTCACCACCACCTCTGCTGGCCAGGATTTCTGAGAGTTGAAGTCCAGGAACATATGGAGGCCCAAGGTTGGGGACCGCGCTGTACGGTATCACAGAGCTTTGTTGGGATGACACTATTTTAAAAGATTCTTTTAGAGCTGAAAAATTTCTTACCCAGGAAAGGTGTATTTCAGCTAATTAGGAATGGAATTTTCATATTTTTGGACTACAGATCCCATGATTATTACAGTCACCTAAATCTGGTTCACCAGAAAGAAAGGTCTAAAAAGGCTTTGAAGCCTAACTCTACTGAGCTTCCTCTTCAGAAAGAAAGCTCCCACCTAGTCCTGAGGCAGAAAAAGGAAGCTTGGGCATCTCAGCCTTCCAGTTGAGGTATTTCTCCCAGGTGAACCATATTCAGGTCATTGTATGGTATCTGTATTCAGGAAGAACTCCCAGAATGGAGAATTATGGGATCTGAAGTCCAAAAATATGAAAATCTAATTCCTAGAAATTACATTAATATAATTCAGTGATAGCCATGGAAACATCCACAGAACAGCCAGAATCCTACTGGTTATTTATGCCAGTGTGAGAGCAATGGCATAAACTGCAGTGGCAATCTGTCACCAGCTGCCACTTGTACCCTTCATGAGACACCTGGTGTTCAATGAGAAGTACAAACAGCAACTAACTAACCAATAACAGTTCACCAATGCAGTCTTGGCCATTGCATTTGCAGTAGCATAACTAATCAACAGGGATTCTGGCCAGTTTCTTTACATTACAATATAAGAGAAATTTTAGATGTACAGGTGTTTAAGAGAACATAAGCATAAATAAGATTCAGAAGATGTCCTTCCGCATGGGCAATCTGTATTTCAATCACAAAAAGGCTATTTCAGACAGACTTTGAGCCAAAATATTATGTGAAAAAAAGTGAAACTAATCGCAAAAAGCACTGGCATTTTAGTACAGATGCTCCAGCTGAGTTCTTCTATATGGTAGCCCTAAGGCATGAAAATGAGATCGCTCATAAAAGATAACACTGCCACAGAAAATCTGATCCACAAATGATTCCCATTAGTCTGCAAGAGCATAGGACTGAAAAAATAGAGATCTCTTGCTGTCAGAAGATGTTACACTAGGATAAGAAATATAAGATTTCCTTATAAGAAGTCCTCCATGTACAACTATAGTTGGTACTTGAATCTCATACCAAACGTGCAAATGCTCAAGCATGCCTATGAACAGGCAGTCAAATCAACATAGATAAATAAAAACGTTGCATTTTCTCCAAAGAAACTAGCCCATTACATGGTAAGAATACATTGTTCTCTGAGAACTGGATAACAATGTACCATCTTTATATATTAATAATGTACAGGTACAGAATACACAAAAGTGGGTTATAATTCCCTTTTTCTGGGGGTGGGTGCCCCGGGTCAGTGCAGCTTGCCCAGGAATACATGGCTGGCTCTTTTCCCAAGAGGCACAGCAAGGAATCAAACTCCCAACCTCTGGCTTGCAGCCAGATATCCAAACCACTGAGCTATCCAGCCAGTTCCCTGTATATTCATAGGAGGCTAGATGGCTCAATCATTTGGGCTCCTGGGATGTCAGAACCTGGGAGTTCAATTCTCTACCAAGCTACCCTGTCCCATTTGAAGGGACTGATAAAACACTTCTGAGTACTCTATACCAAGAAAACCCTGGAAAGGGTAATTGTGAGTCGGAATCAACTTGGCATCATACAGCTACATATAGTTCAGTGATTTAGGTATCTGGCTGTGGAGCCAGAGGTTGAGAGTTCAATACCCCACTGTGGCTCCTTGAAAAGAGCTAGACTTAATAATCCATAGGGTCCCTTCTAACTCTGCAGTTCTGAAATGATGACAATATTAATGGCACAAGACAAACAGATACAGCAGGACCCTGGTATCCATTGGGGATAGCTTCCAAGTCCCCTGTGGATGCCTGAAACCACAGACTGTAGTGAACCAATGGGGAGAGAAGGGTGAGAAGAGGAGATGTGTCTATTGCAAGCTGTGGTGACCACAGACAACTGAAACCATGGATACAGTCCCACAGATACGGAAGTCCTACTGTATATCAGGTAGCATGATCTAATTTTTTAATAGTTTTACCACAGTACTAGCTCTAGGTTATATTATTTCAGCTTTTATGTTATAGTAAGATAAATTACATAATACAAGTATCTCTAAATCCTCAAATATGAAGTTTATGTAAAATAGTAATATAGCTTGCACACTTTGTACAATAACAGAGGGGAAAATCTTGCTAAACAGGTCTCTGGAAACAGCTATAAATTCAAATGCACTCAGTGAGTGTATGTGCACATCTTTTACTGTTTTGAAAAATGCAACAATAGTAAGTAAAAATGAATGAATTTGCTGGACATGGATACTGTATAAAACTATGAATCAGTAGCAAATTCAAAGTGCTTCTTTTGACATATAAAGCCCTAAACGGCTTGGGCCCTGGATACCTGAAGGACCGCTTCCTTCCATATGAGCTTACCTGGCAGTGAAGATCTAGCCAGGGGGCCCTTTTGAAAGAGCTGTCCCTCAAGGAGGTAAGAGGGATGGCTTGTAGAGAAAGGGCCTTTTCAGCAGCTGCCCCCAGACTATGGAATGCCCTCCCAACTGAGATTCGTCTGGCGCCGACACTGATGACATTTCGGCGCCAGGTCAAAACCTTCCTGTTCCAAAAGGCTTTTAATTGAAATAATATCAGCTGTGGGTCCTGATGGCAATTTTTAGAGTATATATTTTAATTGCATTTTAATTGTTTTGTCTTTTTATTGTATTTTAAATGCTGTAACCCGCCCAGAGACCTTTGGGTAGTGTGGGCGGCATATAAGTTAAATAAATAAATAAATATTTCATTTGAAAGAGATCACAGTTGTTTCCACATTAATGGATCCGAGCAGTCGTATACACTCACCTTCTACTAAACTTATTTAGCTGTCATTGTTTGAACCACCTTACCTCAGCTGCTTGGGTCTCCTGATGCAAAAGAGTCAGACCTGTGAGATCCTCCAAAAAGGAATGTGATGAATTAAAAACTTTTGCTAAGAAATTGAAGCCATCTCTTTCATACTGGTCAAGGACCTGCAAAAACAAAAACCAGTGAGATGTGTGTCATTTCCTTTTAGTTATTCTAGAATTATACTCATCAAGCAGATTTCATGTATTGGAGAACAATCACTTCCAAGACTTGCAAAGTCATAAGAATCCTAATTTAACTCCATGTGTGATATAAACATATTTTTGCTTACACTGAAGGACAATAAGGAGAGTTATTTTGCACTATCTAAATCCATGCTGCAGTACTCAGCTTTTCAGGCATAAACAAAGAGCAAATAAGTCACTAAGGTTGATGTAATCATATCCACTTGTGAAATCCAGCCATGTGTCTTGCAACCCAACCAATAACAACCTATTTTCCCAGACTGCAGCCATTATGTAATCAGTATTATCTCAGTTAATCTCTAAATGAAGCAATTCTAATGAGTGACTCACTACAATGCAGGATATTTTATTTCAACTTAAACAAAACATTCCTGATCTTGACCTGTATATGATTAAGCTTCAACACATAAAGTTTTTCTCCTCTTTATTGTAGTTCTTCATTCAAAGGTACCTCCTGCCACATGCCATTCTTGAGAGGATCACTGGCTCATCCCTTCAGGAGTGTCTAACAACTCAGAAAGGCACTGTGCTACTAAAACCAAGAAATTATGAGGAAACTCTCAGTCAAAACAGATCTTCATATACACCCCGTGAACAGCAGGCACAATACCTAAGCAACGCGAATAGTTTTTACCACACAGATAATTTCATGTCTGTAGCGTAGCCTAGGTAGGGTGTCCAGATTAAGTTTACAAATAAGGTGTATAGTAAAATTCAAGACAGCAGGTGACAGGTTTTGAGTTGTATGTAAGAAGTATCACAGCAAACAATTTTTTTTTTAAAAAAAGGGCAGAGAAATCGTCACTGACTTAAAGAAACATTGCTGTTATCAGTTTTACTGCTGAAAAGGAAAAGATCTGGTTTTCTGTTGCCTGGAGCACTGCCTGGTAACCATATGCTGTTCTCAGGTCACTGAGGGAAGGGAAGGACTCAAAAATAAAAATAGCACTACATAAGTACTATATATATGTAACAAGGTTATTAAAAAGGGAACAATAGCTAACTGAGGATAATTAGCATATCAATTATGGATAGAGAACAATAGCTAAGTTTCTAAAGTCATTTCTGATACTGAGACCCAAAGAAAAAATAGGGAAGGAGAATGTCAACTTGGAGTTAGTTATTTTTTCCTTATGTTGTAGTAGAAATCCCTTAAAAGCTTAAGTTCAGGAGATCTCTGGTAACACTGTTGCTCCATTATGCTTCCGGGTTTAACCCCAAGGAAATGAACTTCCATTCCTTAGGTTATATTCCTTTTTAAAGCCAGAGAACACTGACATCTACTGAAACATAAATTCCCTAAGTTTAAAACAGCTGCAATTTCCTAACACAATATGACCCTCCCCACCTCTTTCAAGTCCTTTGGGTGCAGTACTCTACTGTCATTGGCTGAACTGTAAATATAAACCACACTGCTTTATTTCATACGTACACCTATACAATTCTCTCTCCGATACCTTGGCTGCCTTGTCCTGTATGAGCGGAAATGGTGCATTTTCTTAGAGAGAACCATACACCTGGGGAGACATTCACAGACCAGAATGTTGCCTTTAGAGATTGATTTAGATGTGGGGGGATTTATTTATGAAATTTTCTTCTGGTTGTGCTTGACAATTACGATGTGAAATGCCACTCAGGCTCAAAGACAGAGTGTAACCTCAAGCCCCAACAGCTCCTTGTTTCAGAGTTTTGGATGAGGTAGCTTACAAAATTAGCCAAACAAATGCTTATACTGTATACTACTTGATATTTGCTCCGATTTAGTCTAACAGTGGTCTGAGCATGATCACATTGGAAATCTCAGTTCCGTGATCATCTGTACTTTGTGCATACTTCATTCTCTTGCAACACTGTATTTGCCCCCTTTTGCACTTAAGTTTCAATTGGCAGCAGATAGAGACAAAGGAAAGCTGAATGTTAGCTAAGAGAATATAGTAACATAATATATTTATTGACTCCTTAAAGCATATGGTTATTAGAACTGTCCAGTATGGCCACGATTCATCCAAACACCACTTCTGCACATTCAATACAGCCAGTGCAAAAAGATGAGGGTAACTGAAGCCTGAAACACTTGCAGAAGTATTTTTTACAGCATCACCAGATACCTGATAGTTCTGATTGAATTTGCCAGGAACCAAATGTGGGACTTGCTATCTGGCACTTTTGGTTTGGAATGAAGTGTGGCAGGCAGTAGCGCTTCTCCTTCTGGCCTTTCTGAATTTTCAGATCTATTAAAGCCATGAGGAGTTTTCAAGGGGTTAAAGCTTTACTTTATCATGAGAGTATGCTATATTTTGCCACAGATGTTGATCAGATCAGCAGAACAGTACTTTTCCCTTAAGCCTGCATGTACAGCAAAATGGGATGTAAAGCTTTTGTAAAGCCTCAGCCTCCTTGAAAACTGCTCATTGCTAAGGCATTTTCTTTTACTGACATTACCTGCTTGCCTCATATAGTAATCATTTAGTACATGAACAACCGGAAACTTATTTTTAAAGCCACTACTGGAGTGAAACTCTCAAGGTGTGTAATATAATCCATCTAATATTTCCCAGTATCAAATTACTATTGCTGAGAGCTTCTATGAAGAATTGTGAACCAGGGCCAAGTTCTCTTAAGAAATGTCTCTGAAAGAGTTTAATTTTCTCTACACAGGTCGGGGTGGAGAAAATGGATAGTTGCCGGACTGCAGAGCTCATCAGCCCTAGCCCATGAGGCTGATGGTGAAAGCTGCTAGAAGTTCCTGGCCAAAAACATCTGAAAGGCTAAACTTTCCCCAAGCCTGATATAGACTGCATGAAACTGGCACCGAAGACTGGCTGCATCCCCTTGTCTGTGCATGCAAGAGGGACAATGAGCCTTTGCATAATTGTGCCAGCTCATTGACCTCCAATCTCTTTCACTTGTAGTGTTGCGCAGCATGCAAATTAACAGGTATGGCAACATGGCATGTCACCCCGCCCAGCATATGTGGGTTGACATAAACAACCATTGTTTTCTGGGCGGTTATTAAGCATTTGTATTATGCCGCCTGGGCACTATAAAATGGCAGGCAGTACCATAGATTAGAATGCACTTTACACACGGAGGAAGAGGCCAGAGGAGAAGATTGAACAGTACAGAAAGTCATTCATTGTTTTCTGGGCACCTGGGCACTATAAAATGGCAGGCAATACCATAGATTAGAATGCACTTACACATGGAGGAAGAGGCCAAAGGAGAAGATTGAACAGTACAGAAAGTCATTTTCTGAGACACATTAGTGACATAGAGGACCATGCCTCTCCTCATGGATAGCTCTATAGGAACTGACCCTTGCCTTCTTCCCTCAGACGTCATTTGTGAAACAAAACAGCTCAGACAACTCACTTAAGGATTCATAATTTCTTACTGCATTTCTTACTAATAAAAACATACTGACACAGACTGTAGGCCAGGTGCAAACTGAAAATGGAAGGGGAGAGGAAGAGGGTCGATTCTGAAAGACCTTCTGATTGTTACTGACACAAGCCAACAAAGGCATCATTTTTGGCTGCTGTTCTCGAACCTGTGGATTTAAAACTGTATCATCACTTTCCTCTCTTATTTTAAGTTTAAAAAAACACACACACACACAGTGTGCTGCAAAAAAAAATAATTCTCTGGGATGATGCAATTTTAACAGCTTCCTGTCATTAATTTACCTATATGAAAAATCAGTGTTTTGATATATGTAGAAAGATCTGTACTGATATGAATAGGGTTTGGTTTATTCCCTAGTGGCTTTAAAAGTGCCCATTAATGTCAATGTGAAATGTAAGGCAGATTATTTCTGCAGTGTGATTGATGGCAAGCAGAACTATTTGCCTACTGTATGGCATGTTCAAAAAGGTACCTAGCCAAGCAATTGATGCTTCTCCCCTCCATTTCATTTTGTTTCTGTCTCCACTTTTGGACAGCAGAACCCTTTGTAAGTTTCAAATATCACTCATTTGTGTCCTTCTGGCTTGCGATGCTCTCAAGAGAGCCATATGCTGGCCCCATTTCCTGGCATGGATACTCTGTTCATTACTCCTATGGAAAAAGAGTTTCATGCCATCCACGTTGAGTGGATTAAAGATATGCAGTGCACATCTAGCTTTAGAAATTTTCCTGTACAATCTTCCCAAGAAATAAGCTAAAGTCTTACAGGAATTATTCTCATCCTTTCCATCAGGAGACTGTACACAAAGACCTCACTCTCAATTTCTTTGTTTTCACTTGCTTCTTTTATTATTTGTATGAAACCAGATCTTGTCTTTTTTCCTTGTCTCCCCTTTTTAGCCTCTGCCCTTCCCTCTCCAAAAGATGAAGGTCAATTGAGGTTCAATTAAACCATGCATCATAATGCAAAATATAAAGAAACTAATATTCATTTATTCCAGGGAGATTATGCAAGAAACAGATTCTACATATGCATAAACACAGCATTTTCTTCTTTGGAATTTAAAAGTGTTCTTTTGTAGTTCATTATCACAGGGCAGGATTTAAATTTTAAAATTGTTATCTTTGTGTATTTAAAAGGGTAGGTCAATTATTTAGTCACTACTTCTATTTATGAAGTGTCTAATATATAAATTATCTAAATATTATACTATCATTTGAAAAACCTAACAATAATGCAATAAAACACATTTGAAATCTGAAAAAAATCAATAGAAGAGAAAGCTAAGCAATGGGAAACAAGAAGTATCACTAACAAATAACCACCAATCAAGAAATTGATAAAAAAATAATAAATGCAAGACAATCATTCACAACATGTTCAGACATATCCATAACAACTTGCACGAATAGTTTCAAAGTAACTTGGCACCTGTATGCTCCAGGAGGAGAAGCAGCTTCAACAGGATTTAGTGATAAGCTATTGCCATGGTTCCCAACCTTGGGTCCCCAGG